GCAGATGGCGTCCGGGTTAGGCCTGTGCGCCCAGACTGGAAGGCCTCTGTGCACCCGCCCCTTGGTCTCAGATATGCAAAAGACACACAAACCAGCATGCAAATCCTGGCAGGACTGAGGTGCCGGAAGCGCCCTGCAGCCAGGCGGGAGCACAGTCCCAGGGTCAGGGGTCACTCACCGAGGCCCCCGCTGCACAGGCAGGCATGGGTTCGCGGCGCAGGCTTGGTGGGGTGCGTGTCCAGGATCTGCTGCACCAGCTGCTCTACAGAGAACTCCTCCGTCCCGTTCCCACAGCTCCACTTGATGCCATGAACTGGAAGACCGTTGGCGGGGGGGGGGGGGGGAAGGGGGGCGTGCTGGGGGACCCGAGCACCAGGGACTTCCGGCGAGCAGCCACAGCTCACCAATGTCCTCCAGCCCTTCTCCGTGACTGCAAGACCTCAGGACACGCCAGAAATCCTCATGTCCCCTCCGGGTAGCACCCCCAGCTCAAGGGAGCCACTCACCCCACGCTGCTGGGTACAGAGCCCTTCTGCCCCCAGGGGCCCGCCCCCGCCCCCCCTCCACACCCCCTGGGAGACCCTTACACATGGGCTTCAGCTGCCCCAGCAGCTCCTCCCGGGACCACTTCAGCCACTCTCGCCGGTCGCTGCTGATGGAACAGAAGATGGGGCTGCAGCCCTTCCCGCAGTCCTCCAGGGCCGGGACGTTCAGGTAGTGCACAAGCACTATGTCAGGGTTCTGGAGCACAGGGGCACACACGGGGCACGGTGGGGTTCCGGCTCTCTTCCCAGGCAGCTCCCCCCACCCCCCAGGCCCTGCGCCCTCCATCCTCCAGCAACCCCCCCTCCATTTCCCGGGCTCCTCCTCCCACTCAGAACCCAGTGGCCCTCAGCCCATCTCCCAGCCCCCAGCCCCCCTCACCTGCAGCAGCCAGTAGCAGCGCCGATGGAATGTGGGGACGATGGAAGAGTGAACGTAGCAGCCATAGAGACACTGCCAGGAGACAGGCTGGGGTGGGGGGAGGGCCCGTCTGCTCCCCGACTCTTCCTCTGTTCCGTCCCTTTGCAGGAAGCCCCATCTTTCCACCAGCGCCTCTTCCACCCTCGCCACCCCCACCTGCACGCCACACACACCCTCCCCATCTCGGCACTCGGCTGGGGTTGAGAGGAAGGAAGAGTGGGGCCAGGGCCTTACAAGGCGGGCCGACCGGACAGGTGGGAGGGACTGTCGTGAGGTCAGAGAGCAGGGCGAGGGCACACTGGAGACCAGGAGCAGTGAAACCCCTGTGCTCAGAGGTTCAGCACTTGAACCCCTGAGGGAAACGGGCCTGGGCGGCCCCCGGGGGAGCCCAAGTCCCGGAGAGCTGGCTGGTCAGAGGGAGGCAGCGCATGGCTGAGGCACCCCCGGGGCTGAGCCCCGGGAGTGAGAAGGGAGGAGCGGCCCGGAGGGTGGGAGGAGGGGGGCCGGAGCCCCGCTGAGGACGGAGGAGAGCAGCCCAGCTGCCGCTGCACACCCGCCTCACCTCCATGCCCTGGACCTTCAGCTTCATGTGGTCCTCGCGCGTGGTCTTCCCATCCCTCCGCTTCTTCCACAGGTAGCCATCCTTACGGTACTTCACCTTCTTGCGATTGTACAGGATGATGGAGCCGTTCCGAGGCCTGGCGAGGGGAGGGCTGGCCTGAGTCCCGCGGCGGGAATCCCGGGCCGGCCACCACCCGCCTTCACAGACCCACTCACCTTGTCTTTGGGGCACAGGACAGCCATTCGTCATGCTTCTCAAAGGTGATCAAGTAGGATGCGATCTCCTGTAGGACGAGGGGCGTTCAGCTGGGGGTCCCCGCATAGAGGCTGGGGCAGGTCCCTCCACTCCTCTGAGCTCCAGGGGCTCGTGGAGGCTCCCAGCGAGGACTGCTGCCCTCCTGGGTCCCAGGCTCCATCTCAAACCTGAGTCTAATCTCTCCTTCCTCCCTCTCAACCGCAGCCGTCCAAACCCTCCATCCTCCATGCATTTGATTTTGCTTTCCAAATCCCATTTTTGTGCCACTTCCTGGTTCAGAAAACCTCAGTGGCTTGACACTGCTAGGAATTCCGAATTCCTCAGCCTGAGTCCAAGCTTCTACCAAACCAGGGACAAAGCCAGCACCCGCTCCCACCATTTACCCTTATTCTGCCTGCCAGACCAGTCGCGGATTCTTCTCTGATCGTGCCCTGAGCCGCGAGCTCCTGAGTGTTCATGTCCCCCAGACCTGAATGCCCTGCACTCATTTCTCTGAGCCTGGACACCCTAGTCATCCCATGGACCACATCCCTTCCCGGATCTCCACCGAGCCCTGCTCCCTGCCCTGGCCCTTCCTACATCTGCAACAATCACACCCACACGTGCCCTCTTGCTGACAGTTCTCATCTAACAAAATACTCCAGCCGATGATGACTGAGCGCCTAGGACACACGAAGCATCGTGTGTGTTTGTGTGTGTGTGTGTGTGTGTGTGTGTGTGTGTGTCGGGGGCGCACGGAAGGTGTGTAGCACGAAGACCGTGCCTCCGTAAGGAGCCAGCCTCAGTGGTGGTCAAAAGCAGAGACTGCAGACTTCACTGAACCCCACGAGGGAGACCGTTTCCTCCTGCCAGCACAGGGGGAGCAACAAGGTCTGCTCCACAGGGTCGCTGAAGGACTTAGGTTGGGGACTTAGCACAGCACTCAGCTTGGGAAAAGTATTCTTTTGCTGCCTGCTATCACTTTGACCCAGGCAGATGTGCCAGTGAGTGCCTACAAGATGAGGTCCCTATACCCCTTCCGTGACCCCCAAGGAGCTTAGGGCAACTCTCTGCACTTAGGAAGACCCCCATTCACCCTCCTCCAGCGCACGTTGCCAGGCCCTATGCCCCAAGGCTCCCTGGAAAACCTCATTTGTATTCCAGCGAAGCCGCTCGGGAGGCAGCAGTGGACAGCGAGGAAGACACTCCAGCAGCTTCTTGGGGAGAAAGATCTTCAGGCGGTGGCTGTTCTCTAGAGACAACCAGACGGGAGAACGCAGTGACACCCTAGGCAGCCCAGGGCAAAGGGCTGAATCCAAAGCATAGGGTGGGGCGGGGGTTGGAGGGAAGGATCTGGAACCAGGACAAGGAGAGCAGGGACCCAAGAATTTGAAGATCACCATAGCCGGAAGAAAGAAGGGCTGAGAACCTAGGCTGTGAACTCACCGGCAACCTCGGTGGTGTCCTTGGTATTCATGGTGAGGGCTCCAGGGGGCAAGGTCACCCCCGGCCTGAGGGGCCGGGGGGAGGGGGAGTCTGTGCTGGGAAGGGAGAGAACAAGGTCATGGCATAAGCCCCCCCCCCCCCCCACCCAGGATAAGAAGACTGAACTGGGAAAAGGGGGAAAAACTGGGTTGTGATGTCCGAGAAAGATGAGGAGGCAGGGGGAAGGGGTCAGACTGAGATGTGAGTAGAGCTGAGCATGGAGGAGAGGGAGAACCCAGGCCCAGGTGCCAGGAGCCAGCACCAGTGGGGAGACACCAGGGACACTGCCGACAGTCATCAGGAAGAGACCGGTGCGGGGCGGGGGGGGGGGGGGGGGGGCGGGGCTGGCGCGTCCCAGGCCCTACACCAGGGACTCTCGGAGACCTTGGGGCTACGGTGGGGTCCGGGCGGGGGGCGGGGGGCTGGCACTCGGGTACCTGGTCTTTGGAGATTGGGTCAGCAAAGGGGAGCCTGGATGCTGTGGGGAGGGCAGGAGGGCCGGGCCTTACAAGACACACCCTGGGTTCCTCCTCAATTTGATATTTGCTGAGGGAAGGGCAGATCTGACGACTGGTCGCAACCTCCTCCCTGTCCTCCAGGTTGGTCACGGCCGGGCCGAAGCCCGGCCGGGTACCCAGGTCCCGGCTTTCCACCCCCAGGACAACCCATCCTCCACCGGAGGCTCACGGCCCTCCGCACCCCTCCCCCACCAGCGCTCTGCCCAAACGCCTCCGCTTCCCCCGACTCCGGGCCCAGCGTACCCCATCCACACTCCGGCTCCAGCCCGAGCCCCCACCCTCCCGCGGGAGCAGATGGGAGCTGGAGGATGCTCTCCGCGCGGGCTCCGGGCGCCGGGCTCTGCCAGGTGTCCGCGGTGGGGCGGGGGGGGAGAAGGCCCGTCCGCTCGAGCTGCGTGCAGGGCAGCCGGGTCGGGGTCAGGACTCCGCCCCAGGGCGCAGGTGCGCAGTCCCGGCCCGGCAGGCTGCCAGGCTGCGGAGCGGCCGGGCGGGGGTCCCCGGAGAAGCCCCGACGTGCGAGGGTCCGCCGACCGCACGCACGCAGCGGCGCTCCGGAGACGCCGCGGGACGGAGCCCACGGGCGCGCGGCGTCCAGGACCGCGCCGGGGCCCGGGGCGCGGGGTCCCCGGGCGGTGCGGGCGCCGCAGGTCCGCCGCGGGGCCCTGCGCGTTGCGGCGCCCCCTGCCGCGGGGGAGGAGGACGGGAGCCGGCGTGGGGGCGAGCCCCGAGGAGGGGCGGGGGTCCCCGCGCCGCGCGCCCGCGGCCGGGCCGGGAGCGGCGCCCCCTGGCGCGGGGGCGGAGAGGCGGGCGAGAGGCCCCGGCTCTTACCTCCCGGGGTCCCGCGGGTGACGGCGGCAGCGGCCATTCTAACCCACACCGACCCCCCCCCCCGCGCCTGCTGACAGCAGCGTCCGACGTCACTGCGCACGGGGCGGGGCCTCTCCGTTAAGGGGATTGCGGGGGGGCGGGTGCAGCCGGGCAGCCCGGGGCGGCGGCCGCGGGGGGGCGGGGCGGCGCGCCGGGGGCAGGCTTCCGGGGTCCCGGGGTGTCGGGGACCCCGGGGCTCGGAGGGACCCAGCCCGACTTCACTTTAGCTGCGTCCTGGAGGAACGGACGGCGGCCTCCCTCCCCGCGAGCCTCTCCATCACTGCTCCCCGGGCAGAGAGACACTCCGGGCTCGACTCGCTTTCTTTTTAATGCCAGAACAGAGGAGGGGGCACAGGGCCCGGGATCCGGCCTGGGGGCTGGGGGCGGGCAGTCGGCCCCGGGAAGACCCGCGAGGGGCGGGTTGACCAGAGAGGCCGAGGGGGCTGGGGGTGGGGGCAGCTGGGAGACGCTAAGGAGGGGGAACGCCTTGCTGTCACAAGTCGGGAGCTCCAGGGCCGCAGCCAGCCTGGGGCCCGCGGGGCGGGGGCAGCGGGGGGCAGCGGGGGCACGGCGTCAGTCATCACTCCTCAGACCGCACCTCCATCCCCCAGGGCTTGCAGAGGAGCGTCCTGCTAGCCCGGACAGCGCTGTAGGAGGCCAGGGAGCCCAGCCGCCTGGGGAAGCAAGACCCGCCCTGGGCCAGGGGGCTCCAGGGAGACCAGAGCAGCTGTAAGGTTGAGAATGGGAAAGGCTGTCTCTCCGGGTTTTCTAGCCCCCAAGCCCAGGCACCCCGGCCCCTCTGTGCTTTGTTCCTCTCCAGGCCAGCCACCTAACCTGGGGCTCCTCGCTCCCATGTCCCTCCACGCAAGACCAGACAGCCCCCTCCCCCCTCCTCCACCCCACCAGGTCCCTCCGCCAGACCTGGGGCTGGCCACTGGTGAGAGGGTGGCCATCTTCCTGTGGATAGGCAGCCCTCTCCTCTTCCAGACCCCGGTATTGGGTGGCTCTGGGGACTCCACCGCGGTCATGGGCAAGAGCCAGGGGCTCAGATGCAGCCCCAGAGCTGCCCCACTGGGCATTTTTCCGTCTGTGGGGACATGAGGCTTGGGAACGAGGTGCCTGGAGGCCAGGCTTCCTGTGTCTCTACTCTTCAGCCCTCTGCCCTAGAAATACTTCCTGCTGTGACCCAGGGATGTTACCACTGGACTTCCCCTCCTCCACCCCCAGCTTCCTGCTCCCCTCGGATGGGAGCACCCTGCGTCCAGGGACTCACAGGTGACCTGTGGCTGCCCACTACCATCCAGTTACGTGGACGCCTTTCCTGTCTTTGGTGACCCATTTCCACTCCTTGGGGCTCCTGTGGCTTATCCTCCTCCCCCAGGTCCCTCCCTGTTTGTACAGCTTCCAATTCCTTAAGGCTCTCAACTCCTTCCTTAGTTCAAACCCTCCTGCCCCCAAGCCCTGCTGGGCTCCCAGAGCCCCAGATGTCTCTCTCCTTACTCATTGATGAGTCTCTGTCGCCTCCTTAGATCCTCCAGGTGATAAGCGACTGCCCTCACCCGGGCTGGGATGCCCCCAGGTCCCTGCTGCATTCCTGCCAAAGGGGGCCTCCTTCTCTTTCTTCTGCAAAGCAGCTCCGGTGGTGGGAGCCCCTCAGGGGGGTACAGGCCAGGCTGGGAGCATCCAGTGGCTCTCTGTGCCCAAGAATGGGGGGAAAGGGGCTAGAGGGCAGAACTGGGCCTCTCAAGGGAGGGCTTGGACTGAAACAGGGAGTCGGGGTCTTGGGAAGCCCAGACTGTGGAAACGGGGACTAATGCAAAGAAAGGACGGCGTGGTCCGTGCACTGGTTGGGGGACAGCAGAGAGAAGAGGTGGTAAGGTCGGCTGAGGATAGGATGGCAGTGGGTACAATTTAAATCAAGGATCGTTTAAGGGCACAACGTTTGTCATACCTGCAGGGGTGGGGTGTACTGTTCTTCCATCCAGCTGGGGCTGAAAGCCACAAAAGGGGAGCTATGTGCAGAGGACACCCCCATCTGTATTGTTTCTCTGACCGCTCTCCCAACCACGTGTCCACCTGGCAGTAGGAGCTATGGTGGCCATCGGCCAGTGGGCCAGCCGTCCCCAGACAAGGGCTCATTGCTGTAAGGCTTAGTGCAAAACTCTACAGCCTTACTTCCTCCTTTTCTTTTCTGTGTCTGCCCACCTGGGCTTTTGGCTAAGGTTCTCCCAGAAGAGGTCTCCGTATCGCTGAGGCATCAGTCTGGGGCTCTGGGAAGACAAGCCGGGGGGTGCCGATCGGCGGACCACCCTGGAACACCTGAAAGGAGGAAAAGGGAGGCTCGGGGCTGGCTCAGCTCACCCCTCACAGCGTCCACTCAATTCGGGGATTCAGGGGTCCCGCCTTTCCATGGGGCCGCACGGCTGCCTGGGCCCCTCCGGCCACATGCTCTCCTAGCCACTGCAGCAGAGGAGGTGGTGAGATCTGATTTGCGAGATGAGACTGGCAGTCTTGGAGCCTGGATCTCGCCCAATCTCAAACATCTAAGTACCCCAACCAGAGAACATCACGTTTCGCTGTTAAAGAGGAAGGCCCCAGCGCTCAGCTGACGTGACGGGGCAGGTTCCCTCCAGTAGAACCCTTGTTCGCTTCTGCTTTGTGTCCCCTAACTCACAGAAACTGCTCTCCTTCTGGGTAGCAAGGGGTGTGAGAACAGGGCTCAGCACTTCCGAAGTCCCCAGAATGGATGCCAGCTGGTCTTCTGCTCCCCAGGGGAGTGTCCTAGGGCTTGGCCTGGACCCTCTGTCTTCTCATCTCCATCTCTCCTTATGGGACCTCACCCAGGCCCATGATTTTACGTACTACCGATGTGCTAACAATACCCCAAGTCCGTGTCCTCCCCTGGACTCCAGACTTGCACGCACATCTCCCCCCAGCCTGCCCCACCTCCCGGGAAGGCACCCCAGATGGCCAGATGCTGAAGCCCACAAACCTGGTTTGCCTCACTTTCCCTCAGCTCCCATATTCAGTTCATCAGCAAGTCGTGTCAGTTCTACATCTAAAATACACCCAGATTTTAATTAAAAATAAAAAAATTTAGGGCGCCTGGATGGCTTGGTCAGTGAAGCCTCTGCCTTCAGCCTGTGTCATGATCCCAGGGTCCCAGGACTGAGTCCCACATTGGGTTCCTTGTTCAGCAGGGAGCCTGCTTTTCTCCCTCTCCCTCCACCTGCCACTCCCCCTGCTTGTGCTCTCTGTCAAATAAATAAATAAAATCTTCAATAAAATAAAATAATTAAAAAGTAAAGTTTCATTTAAGTAGAAAAAAGGAGGGGGAGCTCAGCTGGCTCAGTAGGTACAGCATGTGATGCGTGATGTCAGAGTTGTGAGTTCAAGCCCCATGTTGGGTGTGGAGCTACTCAAAAAATAAATGAATAGATAAAAATTGTAAAAAGTTTCATTTAAATTTCAGAAAGATGAAATATACAATAAAGTAAAGTAAAATACATCTGATTTGAGCGCTCCTCGCCCATTCTGCTTCCTCCACCGCTATTCTGGCTCATCTGCCCCAGCCCGGACTATTAGGGCAAGGGGCTCCCCCTGCTCCCGTCCTCACCCGGCAATCATGTCTGCTGCCCCTAGCAGTGTGAGTAACCCTTTAACCACGGTCGTGTGAAATGACGGACGGGTGGAGGTTTACTTCAGAGTAAGCCGAGTGGGAGGCGGCTAGATGGTGGCACAGATGAGCAGATCGTGCCCGGAACCGTGATGTCGGAAGCTCCCAGAACTCGGACCCTGGCTCCAGGACGTGTGTTTCTCTACTTTGCTTTTTGACATTTTTCACAACAAAGAAATCGGGGAGGAAGGAAAAAGCTCTGCTTGTGTCATCTCCGTGCTGAGACCCTTCCACTGACTTCCACTGTCCTTAGCATGAAACCTGGACCTTTCCTGGTGGCCTGGGAGGTCCTGCAGACGCTGGCTGGCCCCAAATGCCGACGCCGGCCCCAAATGCCGACGCCGCTCTCTACTCTTCCCTGGGTCACCCAGTTTCAGTCTCGCTGGCGGGCTTCCCGGTCCTACAAGATCCTGCTCCTCTCTCTTTCGTGCCCCCCCCCCCATTCCTTCTTCTCCCCTCGCCCCGGCCTGGGCTCTTGTCAGACCGGCTGATTCCCATCTTCAGAACCGAGTTCAGACTCCGGTCACCAGAGCCACCTTCCGCAGCCGCCCCGTCCAAGTGTCTGCAGAGCGCCTCGGTTTCCAGCACAGGTCACTACTTCGTCTCTCCTGACACTCTAAGGGAAGTCACACTCGTGTTGGGACGTGCTGTCTCCTCCGCCCAAAGGCCAGCTCCGTCCATCCGTCCCGCGTCTTTCTAACCCGGGGGCCGGGCTTGACATCGCAGCCGGGACACCACCGTTCGGGACGGGACCCGTCGGCGGGACAGCCGAGAGCGTCGTGCGCCTGCGGAGACCAGGCTTCGAGCCCCGAGTCCCTCGTCGCGCTCCGGCAGGGGGGGGGGGGACGCCGGGTGCGCACCTCCCTCCATCCCCTCCCCACGGGGTGGGGACGACTCACTTGGCAAAGGGGATGAGCTTGTGTCCGTCATCCCGCACGGCCGGACGCGTGGCCGGGCCAGGTCTCCTCGCCGGTGCCGGCAGCATCGCGGGAAACAGTCGTCGCGCACCGCCCGGCGGGGCGGAGGCGGCCGTGAAGCCGTCGAGGGCGGGAGGAGGGTCTGCGGCAGGATGAGAGGGGGAGGGTCCTGGGGCGTCGGGGGCGCCGCGCGCGATCTGGGGCAGAGCGTGCACGCGGCGCGGAGACCGCGGAAGGGGTCGGACGCCCAGAGATGGCCGGGCCATGGGCCCTCCCGAGCGAGCGAGGTCCGGGGACGGCGGGGACGGCGGGGACGGCCGGACTGACGGAAGGAGCCGGGCGTCGGCGCGGAACCGGCAGTGCGGCAGCGAGGCGACCGAGGGCGGCCGGCACGTCAGGTGCGAGGCTCGCGCCGCGGGGGACCGGGCAGAGTGGGGGCGAGCGGGGCAGGGGCCCCGCGCACCGGGAAGAGCGGGCAGGGGTGCGGCGCGCAGGAAGAGCAAAGCAGGGCGCCGCGGAGGGGTCCGAGCAGGCGTCCGCGCCCCAGCGGGAAGCTGAGCTCAGGGGTCTCAGCGGGCGCCGCCGCTCTCCGGGGCGCGTGTAGCCCAAGGGAGTAGGACAGCACCCCGCAGCGGGCCTGAGCGACCAGGGCTGGCCGGGGGCCGGAGGGGGTGGGGGGGCGGGGTGGGAGGGGATGCGCGGCGGTGAGCGGAGGCCCGGCCTGTGGGGAGGGGGGCCCGGGCCCGAGACGGCACCCAGGCTGAGGCGGCGGCCGGCCTACCGGGCAGGGGACCGGGCAGCGGACCGGCCGGCGCCGCCGCCCGTTGCCGGCCCAGGCACCTGAGGCGGCAGCGCGGCGGGTTCTAGAACGCCCTGCGGGCGCTGAGGAGAGACGCGCCGACTGGAGCCGGAGGCGGAGCCGGCGCGCCGCGCACGCGGGGGCGGGGCCTGGGCGGGGGCTCCCCTGGGCGGGGCGCGACGGGCGGCTCCGCCCCTGGGCGCGCCTCCGACGGCGGCGACGTGCGCGGGTCCGGGGCCTGGGTCCCCTCCAGGGCCCGCCCCCTGCTCCCCCTGCCCCCCACCTCACCCCACCCCGGCCCGGTTCCTCGCGCGCCGTAACCCTCCCGCCAGCCAGCGTCCAGCGCGCCTTTCTGCGGCCGCACCCGAGGCGCCCCACAGTGCGAGGGCATTGCCCCTTTAACAGCCGTTCCCGGGGCGCTCCCGGGCCCCAGTCGGGACGGCGCGCGCCCGCCCCCCGCGTGCGCGTGCCCGCCGGTCCCCCGCCCCTCGCTCCCGCCCCAGCTCGCGCTGCCCGGGCGGGCGCCGGCCGCTGGCGCCGCTGCTGCTGCCGCCCCCGGGGCGCGAGTCCGCCGCCCGCCGCCCGGGGACCCGGCGAGGGGCGGGGGCAGCCCCGAGCCCGCTCCCGATCGCCGACCGCCGTCTCACGACCCCCCCGCCCCGGGAAGGTCGCCCCCGTGCCCTCCGCCGAGCCGCCCGGGGAGCCCCGCCGCGACGAGGTGAGCGCTGGGCGGGGGAAAGCGGGGGAGGGAGGGGACGCCCGCCGAGGAATGTGCCGGGCTGGGGGGGGCGGGGAGCCGGGGTCCCGGCCGGCCGCGGGAGCCGGGTCATGTGCTGTTTGTCCCGCGGAGGCGCAGAGAGGTGCCAGGCCCGGGGCGGCCGTCGGGCGGCCGGCCGGGAGGGAGCATCGCGTCCGCATGGCCGCCCGCGCAGGCCGGGACCGGGGTCGGCGCGGGGATCACCGGCGGGCTGGGGGCAGGTGCCCCCGGCCGACCCTCGGTCGCGTCACCCTCTTCCCTGCCCCATGAGCCGCGATGGCCTGACCACGCCGCGTCCCCGTCGTCGTCCCTGCCCTGGGCAGGGTCTCGGGGGTCAGGGCTGCGCTTCCCGACACGGCCTCTGGGATCTGAGCTCCTCCCTTCCTGTCCTGGGACACACCAGCCCTGTCCCCCTTCCCGTGCCCTGCCCGGGAAGGCTGCGAGGTGAGGCCCAGCGGCCGGGCGTTTAGTCCTTGGGGCCACAGAAGGGGCCCCCGGCATCCCCGTCTGTCTTGCCGGCCTCCACCCTCCTGCCCGTGGGCGTGGGCTGCTCAGCCTCTCCTCCCAGGGTGTGAGCACTGGAGCTCCCACATTCCTGGGCTCTTGCCTGGCACCTTCCCCAGGGCAGTGGAAGCCATAGGGCTGGCCCCAGGCTGGGGCTGGGACCTGCCTGCCTCCTTGTGGGGACACCGCAGTGCTTCCCTGTGCCCCAGTAAAGGCACAGGTGTTTTGCAGGGATCCCCCAACAGAGGAGCCCTGGGGGTTGGTGTGGATGCAGGATGTCCCCACCCTCCCCTGCCCATTGTCCAGGATCCTGAGGAGGAAGTGCTGGGGGCTGGGTGAGGGGTTTGGGGCCCACAGCCACGGTGGATCCCAGGCCTGGGCTGTACCTGCAGCCCTTGAACTTTGCCCACTGGCAGTTCCTCCCGGTGTGGAGGCTGTGGGCTCCGGGTGGGAGCTGGTTTCTACTTCTTGGCTGGCACTGTGGGGGAATTTCAGGGAAGATTTTATGTCTGCAGTTTTCTTTTATGTCTCTCCTGGGTTCCCAGTTTGTGGTGTCGCCCCAGAGCTGCTCTCCCTGTCTAAGACTTCTGTCTTTGCTATCTTCTGTGGCTCTTTCCTTTTGTCCTTCCCTTGTTTCGTCTATAGTATTACCTGGATCTTGTTTCCTCCTGTCTTGTTTGTCTTCCTTTATTGCTGTCTGTGATTTTCTGTCTCTCTGCTCCCTCTGCCCCTCCTCCAGCCACTGCCAGTGTTTCTGCCTCGGCTTCCCTCTCTCTGGACTGCCCTCTGTCCAGCCTCTCTCTCTCCCCTCTCTCTGGGTGTCCAGTGCACTTGTGAGTGACGAGGAATAAAAATATCGCCGTCCCTGCCCTTGGGTTCACATTGCCTTCAGCCACTCGGGAGGGACCGCCGTCCTCCTCTTTCCTATCCTTGCCCCCTGCCCCTGCCCCTGTCCTTGCCCTCCAGCCCTGGAACCCCGACTCATCTCTGGAGCCACAGGTGCCTCCTAACCACTCTTCCCCCACAACCAGGGTTTCCCCCACAGCCCCAGCTGGTGTGGCCAGGCCCCAAAGGTAGGATGGGGCTTCCCCTACGAGGGCCGGTGGCAGCCAGAGCTGATACAGCCCCCCTGGTCTGGGGCCAGGACGCCAGGTAACTGGGGGATGATGGCCCAGGTCCTGGAGAGCTGGGGTATGGCCGGGGAGAGAGGCAGGAACACCGTTGGGAGTCCCTGAGGAGAGTGATGTTTGGGAGGAAGGCCAGAGGGCCAGGAGCTAGGTCCTGGAGGGGCCGGGGAGCCGGGGAAGGGGGTGGAGACGCCGGATCCCGGGAGAAGACGCGAGGCGATGTCTGGGTGCCCCCGGCGGGCTCTGACCACTTCTCCTGTCTCTGTCCTTCAGCTGAGGAGGGCGAGAGTCTCGGGAAGCATGGCTGGGGCCTCTGTGAAAGTGGCGGTGAGGGTTCGGCCCTTCAACGCCAGGGAGACCAGCCAGGATGCCAAGTGTGTGGTCAGCATGCAGGGCTGCACTACCTGTGAGCGAGTCCCCGGGGCCGGCTGGGCACGGGCGGGGCGGGCGGGCCCACCACACTGGTCGGCTAGGCCGGACCGGGAGGACTGTCCTGGGTGTGGAGCAGGTGCCAGTGCAGAGGGCGGGGGCAGGGCCGGGGCAGGGTCAGGGCAGGCTGGCCTTTCCATGTTGCCAGCCGGGGGGGTGGGGGGGATGTTGGCCTGGAGCCTTCCATTGCCCAATCCGGGGAGGCAGCCCCGGTGAGGGGCGGGTCCTGGGAGCCAAAATTAGCCTTGGTGGCTAGAGGGGGGTGGGGAGTATTAAAGGGGAGAGATGAACTAGCACAGAGGTAAGGGGCGGGATGCCTGGACTCCCATGAAGGGACGCGGGGGAAATGGGCGGAGGTCGGGAGTACCTGACCCTGGCCTTCTTGCTTTTCCTTCTGCTGCCCCGTCAGCCATCACCAATCCCAAACAGAGCAAGGATGCCCCCAAAAGCTTCACCTTCGACTACTCGTATTGGTCACACACCTCGGTGAGGTTGCTGGGGTGAGAGGAGAGCTCCGCAGCGAGGAATGGGGGTTTAGGTCCCGGGGAGGGGGCCTTGCTGGGAGATAGGACCTCCGTTGGGTGCGTTGGTGGTGGGATGGGAGGACTGGAACCCTAGGGTGGCAGCGAGAAGGACCCTTAGGACGTGACTGGGACCAGGATGGGGCAGGAGGATCCCTCGGGGTGGTCAGGTCCGGCAGGAGGCTGCACAGGGTCCCGTTGTGGGCGATTGGAACCGTGCGTGGGGTTTGCTCAGGGCACGTATGACCTTTGGGTGGTCAGCAGCAATGGGGCGAGACTCTCAGGAGCCAGACCCCGAGGACCGAGTCATATAGGGCTCCTGCTGAGTCTCTGCCCCCACCTCCCTAGGCCGAGGACCCCCAGTTTGCGTCTCAGCAGCAGGTGTACCGGGACATCGGAGAAGAGATGTTGCTTCACGCCTTCGAAGGCTACAACGTGTGCATCTTTGCATACGGGCAGACCGGGGCTGGGAAGTCGTATACCATGATGGGGCGGCAGGAGCCGGGGCAGCAAGGGATCGTGCCCCAGGTACACACCCGCGGCCTGGCAGGGCGGCGGGGGCCGGGCAGCTTCCCCTGCCCCCTCCGGACCTTGGAGCTGAGACCTGGGCCTCGGAGGCTGTTCCGATAGGGGATGTGCTGGGGGCGAGGGGTGGGCAGCTATGTGGACTTCCCGGCCCTTGGGGAGGGGTCTTTGCCCCCATCGGAAGCAGCAAAGCTTCCTGAGAAGAGCCCAGGCCTTGTTGCCAGAGAATCCTGGGTTTGGAGCCCGGTTTTGCCACTTGCAGCCGTTTTATGTCGTGTCAGACTTCTCTGTGAGCGTGGTCCCCCCGCAGACACGTGTACGATGTAGAAAAGGCAGATGTGGATAACTGGGGGCTGACCATCATGCTCCCCGCCCCTGCGGCACAGCGGCCTTGCCATCTGATGTTGGGGTGTGCTTCCTGCCTCACCGCGTAGTAGTTGGTGACCCTGGGCAGGCATGAACTCCTTTGAGATGGCTTTCCCATTTGTATGGTGGGAACACCTGCCCCCTCAGGGCCGTGGTGGGGTTAAACAGCAGCTTCTCTGTGTCTCCTTCCAGCTCTGCGAGGACCTCTTCTCTCGCGTTAATAAGAACGAGAGTGCTCAGCTCTCCTATTCTGTGGAGGTGAGCCGGGGTCTCAAAGGGGCCCCGGGCAGGGGAGGGGCAGCAGGGACAAGGCTCCCCACAGTCTGAGGACTCAGGTGTGCTCCTCAGGCCCTTCCTATCACTCATGGAGGCTTGAATGTGTTCACCCCTGCAACCCACCACTGCAATGACAGTGACCCC